TGTCTAGAGTTACTCCCAATATTTTTGGGTTATTTACCGTCGGTATTTTTGTGTCATCGACCTTCACATCCAGTTCAAGCCTGGATTTGTCGGTTAGATTCGTAGTTGTCTTGCAGTGAAGAAGTGGGAGAGATCAACGAGGTAGCCGTTTACTTTCGAGCAGAGGTCATCAATTTTGTACTAATGCTTTGTTATTATTATTAAATAAAAAAAAAAATAAATAAATATCCTGGCCGGACGCCAGTATCGAACAGTCATCGGCATACGAGGTTAGGGAAACTCCTTCTGGTGGTGGAGGGAGTTTCGAGATGTAAAAGTTAAACAGTAGCGGGGAAAGGACACCACCCTGCGGAACCGCCTTTTTAATTTTTCTGGGTTTAGATGTTACACCTCGGAATATTACCGATGATTGTCGACCACTCAGGTAGCCCATGATCCACCTCTGCAACCCCGGCGGCAATGAGGATTCCTCAATGTCCGTTAGTAGCACTGAATGATTGACTGTGTCAAAAGCTTTTGACAAGTCCAGTGCTACCAGGACAGTTCGCGCGCAGGGTCGGTTTTGGTTGAGGCCATGGACTATGTGGGTGTTTATGGCGTTAAGGGCTGTTGTGGTGCTGTGCACTTTTCGGAAGCCATGCTGATGCGCTGCTGGACGCAGATGGTGAGTGAAGGTCGGGAGCAGTAAGGCCTCAAGTGTCTTCGCTACTGGGGAGTGGAGAGTTATCGGCCGATAGGACTCTCCTTTGTGGGCTGGTTTCCCCGGTTTAAGTAGCGGGACCACCCTACCCATTTTCCACACGTCGGGTATCTTCAGGGTGGTCAGAGACAAATTGAGGACCCTCGTGAGAAACTCTGCTCCCGCTGGTCCAAGATGTTTCAGCATCAGCATGCTTCTTCCGTCGGGGCCAATGGATTTGGAGGCTTTCGCCTTCCCGATGACCCCCTGAACCTCCTCCCTGGAGAAATCAAGCATCGCGCTGGTGTTTGGCAGTTTGCGCATACGGCGGGTCACACGTCGTTTCGCTTTGTCTACCGAGGGATGCAGTGTGAAAAGTCGGCTAAAATAGCTCGCGCATCTCTTCGGGTCCGACGAGGCGCGATCACCGAATGAAATTTCCACCCGATCATCGCGTCTCGTCGGGTTAGACAGCGACTTGACTGTAGCCCAGAGCTTGGTTGCCCCAGAGGAGAGGTTGCAGGTCCTTAGGTGCTCCTCCCACTTTTTCCGATTATGACTGTTAACAACTCTTCGAATCTCCACGTTTAAATCCCTGATTAGGGGATTCCCGGGATCGGAGCTTCGGAGGGTGTCGCGCCTGGATGCTAGTACCGCCGCTTCTGTCGGAAAATTTGGGCGGATTTCCGCAATTCGGCCTGCCGGGATGAAGCGGGCGGCAGCGGTCACGACGAACCTGCGGAATAAGCGTTCACCAGGGGTGACGTCAGTCGGAGTAGGAAGAGTACTGAAAGCGTTCTCAGTAAATTCCGTGAATCCGGGCCAGTTAGCTTTTTTAAAGTTAACAAATGCCCGGTGGTCCGCGGAAACAAAGTCGGGAGGCCTGTCAATCGAGATTTGTATGGGCAAGTGGTCCGATGCTAACGTCAGTATAGGTCGCCAGACTATACTGTTTATCAGACCAGCACTCGCAATTGTTATGTCAGGCGAGCTTTGGCAATTACCCATAACTCTGGTGTGGGTGTTGTCGTTCATTGTGCAGAATGTCGAATCGTCTATCTGTTCCGCCAGCTCCATTCCTCTACGGTCATTTGACAGGCTAGAATGCCAAAGATCGTGATGCGCGTTAAAGTCGCCCAAAACCAAACGGTTTTCGTCCCTGAGTAGTGCACCTATATCAGGGGTGTATCCAGCTGGGCAACTTAAAACTGGAGGAAGGTATATATTGAATATTTCGAGCTCGACATCGCTTTACCGGATAGCTTTGCCCTGACATTCTAGGGTAGTATCCCTGCGGTCGATGTCGCCATCGATGAGACGATACTGCACGGTGTTGTGCAGGATGAACGCTAAGCCCTCACCATGGCCTCGCTCGCGATCCTTGCGGATTATGTTGTATCCGGCCCTGTTCAGAAGATCTGATCGGGCTGTAAACTTGGTTTCCTGGATCGCAGCAATTAACAGGTGCTCCCGGCTCATATAGTCGACTATCTCGTTAATCTTTCCCTGGAGTCCGTTGCAGTTAAATTGTAGGAGTCGGGTCTGTCTCGGAGGAACGTTCTCGAATCGGGGGGGTGAGGGAGTGATGCGTGGATGGTGTTACTGCTGTACTACCCGCGAGAGTTGGTTCCGGACGTTGGTGTTGGGGAGATGACCCCAACCATTGCACTGGGTGCATCTAACCGAGGTGGATGAATGGAGGAGTATTCTATGACACACGCAGCAGAAGTAGTCCGTCGGTCCAGGGTTGGTTTCTACATCAGCCCTGATCAGAAGGATCTAAAGCAGCCCAGCTGCGAGGTGTTGCTCCATTGGCGAACTTAGACTGAAGTTACCTGTAGACTTAAACGGGGTTAGGTCGCCGAAAGGGTGACAGCCCTTGGCCGGATTAAATCCGGGTGAACTCCGGTGCGTACAACCGGCTGGTTAACTAAAACACTGATATATTATATTTGTTTAGGAAAGCGGCTCCCAAGATAATAGAGAAGCTTAGCGCCGTTCTGCCCGATAAACTGGTGAAAATCCAGCCTGAAATGGGCGAAAGGCATTCTCGCTGCAAGTGAAAAGCGTCAGGCAGCGTAAAATCTCTCTCTACAACAAAAAGGCCTAGGTCTCAGGAAAACAGCTAGAGTGGATCCAAAAGGCCCAGGCCTACAGCACCACACCAAATGCCGACAGCCCAAACTGCAAGACCCTTTAGCAAGGGTGCCAAACAGCATTATGCATCATTTTTTTGTCATACAAGGGTGCAATGGGCGATTAAGTCTTTCCAACCCTACAAATCTTTTTCCCGCTGAGCTACAGAGGGTGACGAGCATCGTTTCCCCAATTCTATGTAAAATTTACAAAGCTTTTATAGGTGTAGGATGCATTCCGTAAGCATGGTCAAAGGCCAAAGTAATTTTTATCCCAAAAGGAGGAAGAACCAACCATGTCAACCCAAAGTATTTTCGACCAATCAGTTCCACATCTTTTTTCTTTAAAATCTTAGAAAGGCTTCTGGACAGCTATATACGTCGGAATCTTCCCCCAAACAACGCCTCGGGAAAGCAACAAGCTTACTCCAAGGGTAAGTCTGTTGACACAGCCTGGAATGATATAAAAGGATGCCCCGAAAAAAGGACTTGTCGTGAAAGAATATACACTAGGCATCTTCCTCGATATCGAGGGGGCCAGCGTTGGCAGACACACAGCAAGAGGCACCGCTCAAGGTGAAGTTTTATCGCCACTGCTGTGGTGCTTAGCAGCGATAATCCTGATTAGGAAACTGCGCAACACAGGTTGCAGTGCTGGAGCATACGCTGACAACTACGCCCTGATAGCGACAGGCAAACACCTACAAACATTAGGTGATTTACTCTAAAATACTCTCTGTATACTTGAAGGATGGTGCATAGACAGCGGGCTTGACGTAAACCCTGATAAAACCGAGAGTCAAATACCGATGGGAGGGTATGTTGCGAAGTATATTCTACTCCGATAGTCCGGCTGAAATCTTCCATGCAACGGTACCACGTCAAAAGTGGCCTAAAACTGTAGAAAAACTCTCAACCAACTCTGAGCGAACTACAGTACTGCCAAGGTATGGGTACCTGGACATAAGGATATCCCAGGCAATTGCATGGCAGACGAACCAGCAAGGAAAGGAACGCTTCTATCTACGATAAAACACGCATGATGATTCTGCTTTACCTCTGTCCACGGCTCATTACAGACTTAAAGTGACATTCACAAGGGAAGCTGACGCACGATGGTAGAACGAGATCACGTGTAACGTGGCCATACAGCTATGGCCAAAGTTGGATGCGAATAAATCTAAACATCTTATCCTTCTGGACCGGTTCTCCATTAAAATAACAACTGGTATAATAACTGGACACTGTTTAATGGGGCTTAACGAGGTTAGGATGAGATTTTACTCTAATGATTTCTGTCGAGGCTGTAGGGACGAAGGAGAGAAAGATACAACGACCACTATCTCTGTCACTGTCCAGCCTAGACATCAACGCGACACAAGCTCCTTTGGATACACTTCTTCGACTGCCTATATAGGGCATACGAAATGGTTCGATTATTTGAGAAGGTGAAGGTTCAGCGGTTTCACAATGGGCTTATTGCCCTAAGTGTGCTGAGGTTTTTGACCAGCAGACGCATTACCTCAACTCAATTTAAGGGTTGATTGTGTGAGACCTTCTAAATATCTTTTTTACGAATAAGCTATCTAAGGATTTGCCGTTTAATGGGAAGAGTTAGCTAGGCGAAAGGTCTCCCTAAAAGTAACAAAGTCGTTTTGATTAATTTCCTTCGAAATAATTTGTCTTCAAAAAATAAACCATCGATATAAGTGTTTGCAATCCAATTGGTTTTCACACGAAAACTTATTTTCTGGTATAGTATTGCTTGCATTTTATTACGAACAAAAATTAAACGGGATTCGGAACTAGAAAAAGCAGATTTTTTATTCACCAACGTAACCTTACATACACGACGAAAGTTACAATAGTTTGTTGCAAAGAACAAAAAATATACAAACTGAAAGAAAGAATGTATGCATTCGGTATATGAGTATATGAAGCATAAATTGTTTTCATTGCAAAGCTACCGAGTCAAATGTAATTTTTTCTGCAATGCAACTTGCACCGAATACAAAAATACGTACCATATCAGAAGGGTCGATCAACGGTTAATATTTGCCATTTAATAAATAAATTTCGGCGGGGTTGATCTTGCTAAAGTTACCTTTTTTATGTATTTAACGTTCTTAAAAATGTTATATATTACGTATAAAAATAAATAATAATTTAAAAAAGCTTAAAATTACCTGGACTGAATTGATATCAAGGACACACAGACTACAAGTAAGTCGAGAAGATTAAATGCAGATCTGCAAAAGGCTCCGTCATGCAATACAAAGCCATATGAAATCAATTTAAGTAACAGTTCTATTGTGAAGACACCCGTGAAAAACACATCAAATTTGTTTAGTACCTGAAATAGATAAAAGTATTTTATTGAACAAGAATTATATCATAAATTGTTTTGTGTGAGCATACTCGTATATATAAACCAATTGTATGGTATTCCACTGTAGTAAAGGAATTAAGGGGTTTCATGATAACTTTTCTAATTTCTATCTGAAGTCAAAAATCCAAATTTTTTCTTAAAATAGCTGAATTTTTTTTTGTCCCTGAACGAAGAAAAATGAAAAAAAAAATTAAAAATTGAGTTCTTGTAGCGTTTTTTACAAAAAACGTCAAATTAAATAAATAATAAGTAATTAAAGAAATCCTTCTTTCATGAACTACAAAAACATGCTTGAAAGAAGTATGGAAAATTTGAACCGATTGCTTCAATAGTCGTTGAGAAATTTCGACTACCGATTTTCGATACGGCGTCACCATCGGTCAAGCTATGAAGGGTTATAAAACACTCTCATTTCTACAGTTTCGTCTCGATCGGCTTGAAACTTGTATAAAATATTTCTGACACTTTGTACCTATGTAGCCTCATAAGTTAAAAAAAAGCTTTTGATGTTCTTATTACTACGCAAAAAAAACTTTTAACCAAACTGAATTTTGGAAAGTTTAATTTGATATTTATAAACCATTTTAAAATTGATTAGTATGAAAGCTGTTTTACACCAATATCAAAAAAGTGCAAATGAGTGGAACCAAGGTAAAAATCCAATAACCTTCCAGTAGCAACCGACTTGCTTTATTGAGGGAGGACAGCATAAAGTGTACTACCACAGTTGCAAATGTCAAACCAACGCCAATTTACTTGTGTCAGCGTGTCTCAAGCACGTTAGTTAATAATATTACCAAAATAGTCGGCACTAATAACTTTCACGCTATGCCTTTATCGATCAAACTCACAGTGGTACCTTATCATCGATGAAACAAAAATTCAAACTCACAGTGAAAATAGCTTCATGCAAATAGTAAGTTTTCTATTGTCGAGTAAAGAAAATTATTACTTATATCAACTTAAGAGCTCGAAAGGCCTACCAGTTATAATTAAAGGTATCGAATCCTCAGTCAAGTCAAACGAAATAAAATAGGCTCTTGAAGAAAATGGTTTCAGTACTAAATCTGTTAAAAATATACTTAATAGAAACAAAGTACCCCAGCCAAAAGTTGAGGTAGAACTAGAGCCCTTTGCAAGTCAGATAAAGAAAAACGAAACCCATCCCATATAGAATTTAAAATATTTGCTACATCGTAGGGTAACAGTAGAAGAGCCACACAAAAGAAACGGCCCAGTGCAGTGCACCAACTGTCAAGAATTTGGCCATACTAAATCCTACTGCACACTGCGCAGTGTTTGCGTAGCATGTGGGGACTTACATCCCACGTCTGAATGCACGTCAAAGATAGATGATGCCACCATGAAAAAATGTAGTAATGTGGAGGTAATGACACTGCCAAATATAGGGGCTGCCCTGTATATAAAGATCTAAAAGTTAGGTTGGCAAACAAAATACAGGCTCACTGAAGTCAAATGGTAAATACACCGCAAATCCAATTTATAGAAAAAGCTACGGATAAAACTGTTCCAAACGTGCAAAACATGAATCCAAATAAATTATCTTATGCGAACGTACTGAAGAATGATTCAGATGATATTCCACAGAACCAATCTAATGGAGGTATAGAATTGATGAATTTAAACCTTACGCAGTGCATGAAACAGTTCATGTCAACTATGCAAAGCATTATTCAAGACTTGATTAAAGCCCAGAATAACATGCTACAAATATTCAAGTAAAAAAAAATGAGCGTGCTAAATATTTGTTTATGGAATGCATATGGTGAAAACCAACATGAATTAGAACTGGCACGATTCATAGACGTAATGCTATTTTCTGAAACGCACTTGACGCGTCTGGCCATATGGGAGCAGCTAAAAGTGGATGATTCCCTTCCAATCCCACCAAACACACAGCAAAACCTTCCTGGCCGTCAATCCCGGCTTGGCCACTGTTTGGGACGATTCACCGGCCTTCGACCACGCCCGTTTTCGCTTGATAATGGGTCGAGTTCGTTCCGTTTCAGCAGCATATCGCAGGCGTTGATTCGGTCCAGAAGGTTTTTTTGCGTCGAATTATGCGGCACCCAAACATCAAACTTTTTTTTGTATCCAGTCTGCAGATGGTTCAAAATGGTTTGGTGACTAACTCCCATCTCCTGGGCGATGTCACGAGATGCCATAAGCCGGTCTAATTCGATGTATTCCATGATTTGATCGGTATTTCGACGTTAGTGAACTCCATGTTTACACGTCCATAACTGTTGAACGCAATATCCAAACTAATCATGCATAGCGTTGTTTTGTAGGTTATGTCAAGACCTTTCAAATTATGTATAGTGTTGCCAGATACGAACTCTGTAGCGCTTTGTACATAGGCGCGAAATTCAAAAGACAAAAAAGCGAAAGGGGGATATTTGACAACCTTATATATCACCTCAGGCATAAAACAGAAGAAAGAACCTTTGCTATTGTCGAACAATATCCTTTGATTGAACAAATTAATATCACAATTGTACACGAGCGACACGGTGACCAAGAGGTCCTGGAACTGATCTATTCAAAAAATACTTATTTATGGTGTGATTTACAAGAAATTCAGTACATAGCTTATACGTGAATAGTTTATATCGCAAAAAAACTATTACTGAGAAAAAATTTGTAAAAATCAAGCGAAAAGTGTATAGCTAAGATATCCAAAAACAAAATAAAAAGAAAACAAACTACCGCGCAAAAAGGAGATGACAAAAAAAAAATAATAAAGCGACCGACCAGCTTAGTGAAGACGGCGTGGGTCGCTAGCTACGCACAACAACAAAACTACTTGCAAAGAAGAACAAAACCAAGCGAAACTTTTTAACCCGATGAACAAAAATTGCTGGACAACAATAATTCGCCGACAGATCAAAACTGGTATGTACATGCACGTAATAAACAAAATATGTTTTGGGGTGCACCCGAGGTGTGATCCCGAATATACCATGGCTTCAAATAAACAAAGGAAATGAACAAACAAACACAAAGAAAGTTTTTGTTGCGGGTAGCGCGCAACAACTCCACCCCTTCCTCAACGAAAAGGAAGGACTCTTCCTTTTGGTCTAAACTCCTTAACGTTCCAAGTCCCTTTGTCTTTGTCTTTATCTGTCACATGGATAAACACACCCCACGATGATACTTTTTCGATCTGGTTTTGTGTTTTTCGATCAGGGGACATCCAAGTAGCTTGATGTATTTTTTTGTGATGATATCTATTGTAGTACTACAGACAACCATTTTTCGGGCCCCTGCGAAGACGATCAGCCTCAACCCATTAGGGGATGTTTCATTGTGAAGGCTCAATTGTCCAATAGTCAAACCAAAGATTCCTCCTTTGCCCATCCTGGCATTAAAGTCGCCAAGCACGATTTTCAGGTCGTATCGGGGCAGCGCTCCTACATATACTCTAGGCGCTCATAAAAGGCGTCTTTGGCCAAATCGGCCTTCTTTACCGGGCGGGGCGCGGTGATGTCGGCTTTTATTCTTATGAGGACATCAGCCAGCTGGGCAGCGGCACTTCCCAAGTTAAGAGACCGGACATTACCGGTGCATGCCTTCAAATCGTGATCCTTAATTCAAAGGGGTATCTCATAAGAGGCGTTGTAAAATTTTTCATTGGAGCTGGTTTCTAAGTGGCGGGTCCCAAACCCAGCGCACAATCTCGCCAGGCGGGTGGGTTTAAAGTTTTTTACACATTTATATAGCGAGCCTCTTGCTTCAAGACCAACGCCCGCTCGTAGCCGCACCTCTGGTGAACAGACGCTGCAATTAGACTTCAGCAGACTATTGAACCGAATAAGTCGGAGTGGCTCCACTGAAGCTTCCCCTATCATTAGCCGTGACCCGAGGCTCCACGTGAGTTGGTTACCGCATCTTGCACAAGGGTTGGTCACGTTTCCAAGGTGCGCGACGTGGACGCAAAAGTAGGAATTGAGTATAGTCTCGCAACTGTAACCGCATACCCAGAAGCTTGACAACACCCTTTTCACATCAGCTACTCTACAGAATATGGTCGGACAAAAGCATGCACAACGATGGACCCCACAATCTGCGCCAATAACCGTGGGTCGAGCCTCCATAATATCGCCTATAAGATCCTGTCAATCCTTCGTCGATTTTCAATCCGACTTCGGCAGCACAAATAGGAGCTGCCTTTACGCCACTCTGTATGCATTTGGTATCCCCGCAAAACTTAGACGGCTATGTAAAGTGACGTTAAGCAGCAGCAAAAGCTCCGACAGGGTTGGGAAGGATCTCTACGAGCCGTTCGATACAAAACGAGGTGTCAGACATAGTGATTACTTATCTTGCCAACTCATTTTTGGAGGCAATAATAAGAGCTGCAGAGCTGAATAGGGAAGGCGCTATCCTTAATATGAGCTGCTGGCGTGCGCTGAGGATATTGACATTATCGGCATCACCAACCGTACCGTGAGTTCTGCTTTACCCAGGCCGGATGAAGAAGCTATCACTTCCACTTTTTCTAGCTACAATATGTATGTGCGTATGTACATACGTACATATATATGTATACCTACAGTGGCTGTTGGTTAAGGGCCTACCAACAACCACACACGTCAAAACAAACTACCGCACGAAAAACAGATGACAAAAAAAAAACTAACAAAGCGACCGGTCAGCTTAGTAAAGACAGCGTGGATCGCTAGCTACGCGCAACAACAAAACTACTTGCAAAGAAAAACAAAACCAAGCGAAACTTCCTAACGCGATAAACAAAAATTGCAGGACAACAATAATTCGACTACAGATCAAGACGGTGTGTATAAACACGAAATGAACAAGATATGTTATTGGGGTGCACCGAGGTGTGGTCCAACCAAACTGGTTACGAGCCCACTCGCACTACTTCCGTGCTGCCGGGGGTAACTTTAAACCGCTTGTGTGACTGGTCTCTGGGTGCGCGA